AATATATATTTATTAATAATTTATATTAATTAAAATATAATATAAATAAATAAATAAATAAAACAGAAAATTAAATAAATAATATATATTAATTAAAATTTTCTTTAATTAATAAAAAAATAAAAAGTAATAATCACAAAAAAACAAAAAAACACAAAAATTTATAAAACTCAAATGATTAAAGCCTACTTAAAGGTGACATTAGCACATGATAGGGGTGCCATTAGCCACCCCCAATACAATACAACATAAAGAATCTAGAATTTTGGACACCACATTAAATGCTCCAATCTTGCTCATATTTAATTAATAAACATACTTAATTACATTGAATTCCCAAAAAATTATAATAACATATATTGGTAATGGACATATTTATAATTTTTATTAATTTATTGGGATGTGTACTTTTGTGCTTATTGTTTGTAATTATCTCAAATACCCTCTGATTTAAACCAAGCATACCCCCATACTGGGAGGGCAATTACGTCTTTTCAAGTAAATACATTTCTGGTTTGAAAACCCATATATCATTTTTATATATTTTTTTCTTGAAAAGAAAATTTGTTTATTAAAAAAAATATTTTTTTAAACATTTGAATAATAATTAAACATCTTGCTCCCTAAATTCTAAAATAAACAATCTTGCAAATGATTTTTTTAAATTGACTTATTTTCACTAAAGCCCCTCAAGGTTTAAAGATCATCTATTAATCCCTTAGTATACATATATTTTTACTTATTTGATACATGATCATCAACATTTAGACAAAAATACGTTATATAAATAAAAATCAGGTCAAAGTATGTTGCATTTTCAGATATAAATCGGTTATCCAAATGTTTAAGATGTTACAGCTGATAATAAGATGAAATTACATTGAATTTTAAAACAAATTATATACAATGATCATAAAATGCAAGTGAAGTTTCCATCAATTTCCTAAAAAAAATCATTTATAGTTCAAGTCAGATTCATTGTTCAAACTTTCTGTAAATTATAAGGGTTAATTTGAAAAAGTATCAATTTTATAGGATAGTTAAATGATATTTAGTCCAAATCGGAAAAGAAATGCAAAATCAGTCAAAGGAAAGAAGATGCTTTTAGCAGACATAACCACAAAGCATGGCAGCTCCATGTCTCTCACTCTGTGTCTTGTTATGAAACTATGAGAGATACTTGGTGATCATATGAATACACACATACACATACATTTTACGCATATACATACAGATACAGAGAGAGAAAACCCTATCAACAGTGGCTGCAGCAACTCTCTCTCTGTAAAAGGCACTCTCTCTCTCTCTCTCTCTTACACATACACATTCACTCTCACTATCTACTGTTCACTTTTGTGCTTTTCTGTTGTTTGTTTGATTAGTCTTCATTGTGTTCCCCTCCCTTTTCCACACTCACTTCTACATTGTGATTGCTCTTCGAGATCTTTCTTGAGTGTGTGAAAATGGATGGTAAAAGCTTGAGCATCTGGAGATTAATGGAAGACATGGTCGTATAATCTGTTGGGTCGTATCTTTTCAGGTTTTTTGAGATCTTTCTTACTGAATAACGTTTGCAAATGAGTATTTGCACAAGAGATTGGAGCGGATGCAAGATATGATATTGTAACTTGTGTTTGGGGGTTTTGGGATACTTAGGATTCACTCCTTTAAGATCTGGTGGGTGGTGGTGGGGTATGCCAGATCTCTCAACAATCATTGGTGCTTTCTTTGGCTTGGAATACAAGAGCATGTATGAAATTATATTACTTTTTTAATAATTTTGCTTCTTTATTATCATTATGTCTTCCACCTGTTTGATACTTTGCCTCATAGAGAGATCTTGAGTGGTTGTTTTGATTTTTGTGTAGGGTTTATGTCTGCTGGCATGGGAAATTAGAGTTCAAATTTCTTTTTAATTGAAATCGTTTGTCAATATCTAGAGCTTCTTGCATTGTTAGAAATTGGCTGCTGTACTAAGTATCAATTCCTTGTTCTTTTGCTTTAAGTATGATGAGATCAAAGATTAATCAATGTATCTGTATGAGATTTGTAAAAGATGGGTAAACCCTTTTCGCAATTGTTGTGTTCTATTTATTGTTTCTCTTTTTAAATTCTTTTAGGTTCTATTCTTGAAGATCTGGCTTTATTTTCTATATCAGAAATGTGTAAGCACAGCCATTTCATTTTGTCAATATCTCTTAAATCCATGATCATTTTTGCAGATAAAGTTCTCAATGTGGGGGATTAGAACAAAACTTGTTAGATGCTTGATGTGTTCTTTTCCCTTCTGAATCATCAGTTATATATATATATATATATATATGTATGTATGTATGTATGTATGTATGTATGTCTGTCTGTCTGTCTAGAATGAACTTGATAGATAATTACTACATTCTGAATATCTTTTATTTTATTCAAGATTGCAGATCTGTAGATGGGTCAAGATTTGGAGCTGGATTTTGAAAAGTACTGTGTAGTGGATGGAAGTCCTAAAACTGTTCTTCTATCTCCTCGCCATTTGAATGTCGAAAAAAGAAAGGTTAGAAAGAAACCCAAATGCCGAAATGAAGTATCGTTGAGTCAAAATAAGGAATTTACAGAGATTAGCTTTAATCGTTACCGTAGTGCATCGTGTCGAACTGTTCCATCGATTAGGTTAGAAGTTGATGAATCACCAAGGCGGGGTTCTGTATATCAGAGCTCCAACCAAGTAGGTAAAATGAATAGAATCAGAGAAAAGGAAACAGAAGGGAGGAAGAAGATTGAACTTTCAAGGAGAAGTGCTGCTTCATTTTCATTTGAAATAGTTGATTCTTTGTGTAGTTCAGATGAGGATAATAGCTCGTTAGGCTCGTTCACAAGTTCATCTCTAGGTATATCTCGAAGTTCAGTCAACAAGGAGAATCTCTCAATGAGTAACGATGATAAACGTCCTCATGCCATCCCTTTGCACAAATCTTTGTCTGCTAGATTAGCAATGCCTCATTCTCCAACCAAAACAGAAAGCGATTCCTCCAAGCCTACTAGTCCCAAGACTCGTTTCAGTCCTTTCAGAAAGATGTTTGACCCCTTCACAAAACCCAAGTCTCAAAAAAGTCCTTTGGGCTCTGCTATTGAAGAACCTGATGAACCAACATCATCATCAAATCCACCAGTTAACACGAGAAACGTTACTTTAAGAAAATCGTTGCTAAACGATTTCTCCAACACCGAGGGTGATACTCAGTCTATCAAGAAAGATTCTTGTAGCTCAATTGTGTCATCATCTTCTTCGCCTGCTCACTTAAGTGGGTTCCTTAAGCTAAGGGACAAGAATGGGGTGCCGTATTTTGAGTTCTCAGTGAAGAATCCACATGATGTTTGGGTGGCAAAGACATGGAAGACGGGGGACGGTTTCAATTGGGTATATACGTTTCACATGGCTCAAAATAGAAGAAAGAGCAATGCTAGTGGCCGAGGATCTAAAGATCATAGAAGTAAAGAATTCTTGATGATGGCCCAGATGCAAGTTTCTTGTTATTTATGTACAGAATTGATACACGCAGGAGCTTTCGACAACTCCATGTTCACAGAGTTTGTGTTATATGATCTTGTACGTCCACGGCAATCTGTTGCACAAATGCCCGAGGGTTTGAATCCAAAAGAAAGCTCAAATGAGGTAATTGATCAGGCAAAAGTCAACGGCCAGAGTAATTTGCCATCTTCAAATCCATGGCCTGTAGCAGATTTGCATCCAGATCTTGAAACTGCAGCCATCGTGTTACAGTTCCCATCTGGAAAAAGAGAAAGCTTGAAATACAAAGGTGGGGATATGAGAAATGATGATTTGCTTAATCTTTCTCAGGTTAAGTTAGAGGAAAGCACGACTGCTTCTGACTGCTTAACTGCATCAAAAGTTAGTGTCGTTATCCCTTCAGGAAACCATGGTTTGCCAAGCAGTGAAACTCGTGGGGCCTCACCATTACTTGACCGTTGGAGATCAGGTGGAGGTTGCGATTGTGGAGGGTGGGATATGGGGTGTCCCCTTGTTGTTTTTGGCAGTTCCGATTTAAAAAAGGATGATGCCTGTAACCTGCCTGTGGAAATTTTCCTGAAGGTAATGCTTCAACTCCGATAGTTCGGTTAAAATCTTTATGTTCCATAGATATACCATTAATCAATAGGAGATTTTTATGACGTACTTGAACTTACTAGAAAAACTATAATAATCACATCAAAGTTCATTAAAGATGGTAGGCAAAGTTCATTACAAATGACACTGATGGTTCCTGTAGTTGAGGAAACTAAATCAAAATTAGATCATGCTTATCAAATTGTTAAATTCAGAAAACTACGCTTATACCCAGCTTTTCTAGATTTAAGTGTACCTGCTTTTCTCTCTTTCATACTTTTCAAAAGAGGGGGTCTACACAGAAATAGCCGCTCTACTCTTTGAGGTAGAGGTCAGGTCTGTGTGCATTTAACCCCACCTCCGGGTGTGATATACTGGGCTTATGTAGTTTAGTTTGGTTTTGAAAACCATAGGGACCAACTAAGGGGTTTTCACCAGATACTATTGTTGAATGATCTAAATGTTATACAGGGAACTAAAGAGAACACACCGGCTTTAACCATGAAGTTGACTGAAGAGGGGCAATATGCGGTTGACTTCCATGCACAACTAAGCTCACTACAAGCCTTTTCTGTATGTGTTGCTATATTGCACGGTACAGAAGCCTCCATTGCCATTGGTGGGGATATGAACAGAAAGATCATGCAATGCGATTCTTTAAGAGTCTTCATTGAAGATGAAGTGAAGCACTTGATTGATGCCGTGGCAGAGGGCGAGAAAAGAAAAACAAGTAAGAATCTTGACGAAATCCCACCTACTTTTGTAGTTAATCCGCCTTTTTCTCCAATGTCTCGTGCATGAGCCCTATAGTAGGTGCTCTAAAAGGGTGATCAGAAAATTCCCAATTCTAGTTCACGAATGCCAAAGGAGCCCATTTGTTCTTATTGGAATTGGTAGCTTCATAGAGGAACTGTTGACTTCTCAAACCATCGTGTTTGATACTTGGTTGCAAATAAACCATTAACGAAAATGCAAAAAGAAACGAGCACACTTTCCAAGAAATGCGCGATGTTAACAAAAAGCGTCAAGTACCATGTTTTCTTGTCCATTTACATTCCCATAATTTGTTCAACATCGCTCATTTTTCCAAATATACAAGTGTTCTTTTAAGCATTTTCGGGATTTACCATGGAAAGCCAAATATAGAGGTTCAAAAAGTGAAAACTTAAATTTAAGGTCCATGATTCCACGTAATCAAAGAGGAAAAAGACGCTGTTTATATCGATGGTTTTGGTTTCTTGGGGAAACTTTAAGCAGAAAAACGACATTGTTTATATGATTGGTTGGTTTTGGAGGGAAAAGTAGTTGATTTGAATATCTTTTGAGAGATTGTTTTCTGGTGAAGGAAGTGAGAAAGGGGATATGAATCCATATATCATGTAGGAAGATGATTTGCTACATTTAGTTTTGTAATGTTATGTGAAAGTGTAGCAGTGGGAAATTGTTTTCCACAAAAAGATATCCAAATGGGTATTATGGTCTTTTAACATTCATGGAGGAATATTTGTATCTCTGGAATGATAAATAATACAGAATCTGCATTCTTCTTGTAATCCTGAGGTTGCATATGCCATTGTGGATGAAACTTCTTCTTTTTTGGAATAAAGACTCTGAATGGAACTTCTCTTTTGGGTTAAAGATTGTGAAATGAACTTTTTTGGGATGAAGATTGTTAATGGAAATTGGGTGTCAATTTTGTACCAAATCAATTTACATGTATATTAATCGTACCAATTAAATTGGTATTAACTTAATTGGTATTAATTACAGTCTGTTGATAGTACCGTACCAAGTATGTAAGTAAACTTGGTATACGATATTGGAAGTCAGGTACCATGATACCAACTTATTTAACTATTTATCAGTTTTTGTTTTTTTAATGTATTAAATAGTAAAAAAGTTTATTTTAATTTATTTTGTTTGAACATTTGAATTTTTACAAGTTTTATTATTTGCATTAGAACCAAGCATTACATGTGTCAACCTTAAAACTTAAAATTTGCATTCATAGAGAAAAGTTCAAAATAATACAAACTTTTTCATTTTGAATAGTTCAATCCTTAAACTATTTTTTTTAAATAAAAAAACCATTAAACTTTCTGGTTTTAAAAAATTAAGTCTTTAAACTATTTTTTTGAATGAAAAAACCATTAATTTTTTTTAATTGATCAAGTCATTGAACATTTTTTTAATAAATAAATCATCGCATTTCTAAAAATTGGTTACCTACATTCTTTTAACCAAAAAAAAAGTTGCATTAACTGACTAGTAAAAGTTCAATGGTTTATTTATTTAAAAAAAATAAGGTCTTAATAATTCAAAATGTAAAAGTTTAATGATTTTTTCATTTAAAAAAATAGTTTAGGAAGTTAACCATTCAAAATAAGAAAGTTAATGGTTTTTACATTTAAAAAAAAATAGTTAAGGTACTAAACCATTTAAAATATGAAAGTTTATTGGATTTCTTTTGGGCTTTTCCTAATTTTCATATATCTAATTTGAAGTTGGTACAAAACTGCTTACAACATGTACTAACCGAAAAATGTTGGTATTGGTTAAATTGGTACCATGTATAGTTAGTTGATATACAATATAAAATTTTGCATTTCAAATGTAATGGATTCGTACACAACATCATAGAAACAACAAAAAAAAACTTGGTACCATACTAAATTTCAATACTTTAACATAACGTTTTTCCTAAAACAAATGCAACATTTTTTTTGTCAGATAAATATTTATATTAGTACTATTTATTTATAAGATACCAATGTATTGATTTTAATTGAATAGAGACCTCCTTCCCTCCTTTTTAAGCAATATAAACCGAGTTTCATAGACAAGATGTTAAAAATAATGAAATTTTGAGGATTTAACAATTTACTGTAACTTGTTAATCTCAAGTTTGAGTCGATCTGAAACACAAAATAAAGCTCCTTTAACTTAACAACTTAGTTTCATAACATCATTGTTTTATTCAAATTTCATTTCATTTTTCCACACCAAGCCATACGAACATTTAGTTTTTCGAGTTCAAGCACATGTTCATAAATTATACAATTAGAATATATAAATTATCAAGCTCAAGTTAAACCCAGTAAACAAGCTTATTATAAAGTTTGAATTTTAGGTCATAACTTGTAACTCATAATTATTATTGTTACATGAGCATCAAGTTCAAATATTATTCGAGATCAAGCATGATATTTTTCTCTCGAGTCGGACTGCGTTTTTAACTCGATCCGTTAACAATATCCAACAATATTAATGAACTCAACAATATGCGCATCAAAAAACTGTCATTTCAACAAAAAAATTGGTTTTCCTTTCCCCTCGATATCCTCAGGCATATCTTTTGGTATGAATCCTCTCTTTACATGAATTTGTAATGTTATATGTGTGACTGAAACCTAAAAGAATCAACAATCTTCAAACGAAAAAATCACGCGATTTACAAATCCTTTGATGAAGGTTCGAGTTGAGTAGAAAGTAACCTTTTGAACGACTCGTAAGATGCAAAGAAAAGTGCTCCTTGAGTCATGTACATGGCCAATCTTGGACTCAATCCCCTGACCATCATAACCAACATCCATCAGGAAAATTCTCCTAAAGGGACTGTGTATGCCCGACATACATAGGTTTTATTGAATATAATTACCTGTATAGTCCTTTAAGGCCTTCGTGTCGGGATATATCTTTAAGAGTGCTGAATACGCCGTGATAGCGGTTTACGGATCCAGGTACCTACACAAAAGCAACCCCGGTCAGAGACAATTGAGACATTAAAAATGATAACGGAAACTCATTCAAGAAAGTAGGAACCATAATCACATATTCATTGCCATCACATGACAAAAGAAAATTAAAAACGGCCTAAATGGATACGAACCTGTGTCTGTAATCTCGTCTTCACCACATCAAAAGGAGTTGTAAATAAAGCAGCAGTAGATCCAGCTAACCCTCCGCATAATAGCTATAAAAACACGATAAAGAAATAAATGACAAGAGTAATCAAATTCTAATACTTGGCCTTCAAGACCACCCAACCAAATCTTCCTTCAACATATAATATAGTCGACCTTGTTTGGTAACACTTGTTTTTTCAGTTTTTCGTTTTGTATCTTTCCATAATCCAAATGGTTTTCTAGAAACACAAACGGTTTCAATAATCTTAGTAGCAATCGCCCAACAACCATCATGATGCATAAATGACGAGCGTGCAGCCTAGAATGATATGCAACTGAAAGTATCTTAATTCAAAAGAAATATGATGCTGAGGCCACTTAATGGTAGCAAAAGACAAACCGTTAATATTGTGGTTGGCTGAGCATGTGCTTGATGTGAAGAGAACATCATGTTCTTTAAACTCTCATATGTATAGAACTGCAATCATGGACAAATTTTCAAAAAATGAATACGAAAAACAGTGGCTATAAGTTGCATACAAATTTGAACATTTAAGCGAGGATTCTAACCTTGATGATAGAATGAGGAACGTTCCTACAGAGTACAGCTCCCCATCCATTGTATAATGATGAAAAGCCTCCCTTCCCCACAATCCCCAATAAGGCATTCCTGTGGAGACGCCATGAAATTGAAAATAAAGATAAGTTCATCAGTAAAATCATACAAGCTGAGGATCCATAGATATGATGATTCACTTTGTGGTTAGATGTCAAAATCCAAGATCAGGCATTGCTTAAACATGATTGGTGCTAGAAATTCAAATGTAGACTTATGACCTTTAAATAAAGTGGTTAATTACCAAAGAGACAAATATACTATCAGCCATATGACAACCTGACAAGAAAAAAATGATGGCTGGTTGATTTAACAAATATTTTTTTCAAACCGACATATAGGATTTCAAACGTCAGATTGCTCATTATCGTGTTGTGCTGCTTATGTATATAATATAACACAACAATTTTGGCTACGTTTTACAAGAATCAATAAATCATTCATTGGATGAGATCATTCCTGCGGCGCTAAGCCCATTACTCTGTCGTAATTTTGAAGATGATCTCCGACTTCTATATGTTATTTGCTGATGATTGCTTTGGTAGTGGAGATGAAGCGAGAAGCGAATGCTAGGTTGGAGCAGTGGAACATGGCATTGGAAGCAAAAGGTTTGCATATTAGTTGTCAAAGACTGAATACCTTGGTGCAATTTTAACAGAGAGCACAAAGAAGAGGGGATATAAGTTAGCATTGGAGAGCGAAGGGTACCCCAAAAGAACAGTTTCAAGTATTTGATGCATGATTCATCAGGAGGGAGAGGCTAAGGAAGATGTTGCACATTGCATAAAGGCGGGATGGGTAAAGTAATGGGCAGCCACAGGAGTGTTTGTGACAAGAAGGTGCTGTTAAAACTGATAGGCAAATTTTACAGGATGGCCATCAGAGTTGGGGTCGGAGTGTTAGATGACAAAGGAAGTGCATGAGAGGAAAACAGAAGTTGCTGAATGGAGATGCTGAGATGGACCTGCTACTGGATTATGTTGGATAGAACACGGAATGAGGTTTTCTCAGCAGAGCTAGGAGTTGCTACTATCTCGGATAAAGTGAGAGAGAGAAGACTGTGGTGGTCTGGGTACATTCCAGGAGACTGCTTACGACACTTGCGAGGAGGGTGGTGAGCATCACAATCGAGGGGTTGGAGAGGCGAGGCATATCGTAGAGGACATGGGATGAGCAGTTGAGGTTGGACATGGAGGCATTAGTACTTTCTGAGGGCATGGCCTTAGATAGAACTAGAAGTTCTTAAAGGCGGCAGATTAGGGTGGTTGATTACTTGTAGGACCATTAGGTATGCCAGTGAGGTGGAGGGGGTCAGGAGGGTAGACAGCGGGTGGGGAGAGTTGACCCATAGGTTTTGCAGTGCCACAGGATAGATATAGGGGGGATTTTTTGGAGTGTTCAGTTTGCTTTTTAGCCAAGTATTGTTGGCTTAGCAGGCACTACTGTCCTTATTTCTCTTATCATTTTTATTTCCTGTCTTCAAATTTTTTTGTTTATTTCAAGCTCTTTGCAATCTTCTCTAAATTTTCGAAAGATATCAATTAAATAAAAAAATTATTTTGCAAAATTGTGGCTTCTAGCTATGCTATCCAAATCTTTTTTCGCAAGACAAGGCCCTTCTCAGAAACCTCTGCCTAGAAAGGTCAGCGTACATCACACCCACTGGGACATCTGAGTTTGTTTGGGTTGGTAATAATTTATCATTCATTGGAGAACAAAAATAATACATTTATCAGTTCAGTTAAAGTTATAATACACTGGACCGATCCAGTAAATCCCACTTGAGGTCGGGTCCAGGGGGGTTATGCAAACTTGACCTCCACCCCAAACGAGTAGAGTGGCTGTTTCCATGAAGACCACAACTTGGGCAAAAGTGTGAGCAAACAGGTAGAAGGCATGAAGACTAACATATGATGAACACAAAAGACAAATAAGAAGAAAAAGTACGACTGGGTACATTGAGAACATATGAAAAAGTATAGCCAAAAACACATCTCTATCCTAAGATGCCACTCCCCTCCCCCCCTTCTTCCCTCAACTGGTCCAACTCCTTTCTGCCCCACTACCCTAGCTACAGTACCCCATACCTAGTCTGCTATTCTGGATAGTACATTTGTCCTATTGGTGATCAACCCTGAACAAAATGCTAACAAAACCTTCATAGCCCTTGATTCAAGCCCAATTTAGAAATTATATTTTTTTTGCTGGATGATGAAAAAAATCAAGTCACTCACTTCAAGTTGTCCAGAAGAGAATTTAAAAATTTTCAATGGCTTGAGTAAATTATTTTTACAAGGCCTTAATATGTTTTGGGTTGCATAACATTACTATGGGAGGTCCAACACATAAATATGGGTATAATCATGTATTTAAATAAACATTACGATGCATCCTTCCGAATATTATTGCCATAATTATGTTCGACTAAGTAACCCATAACATTATAGACACACATAACAATACATATATGATTTAATGTTGAAACCGTAAAGTCAAACATTAAGAAAGGATCATAGAATATTACCAACAGCTGTGATAGTGTGAACCAACTTGCATCTGCTGCTTTATTCGTTCACTTGGAGTAAAAACAAATGAAGTAGCAACACTTGCACAACCTCCAGCCATGCAATGGGCCAACGAGTGATATTCCTGCAATTATTTTTGTAACCTCCATAAGAAACACTTTCAACAGCAAAAGGATCTATACCAACTGCCTTCAATATTTGAACTATGTTACAACCATTTATTCAGTTGTACAAGCAACTTAAGAAGATATATTGACATAAGTATAAAAACAAAGTTCCAAGAGAACGTATTATAGGCAGGGAAATTGCAAAGAACAGAAGAAAACCCTTCACCTTGGTAAAGAGGGGAAGCAAAGCTCCCTTTACTGATTCATAACTGAAAGTGTAAATTGCAGAAATAGGTGCTGAAGAAACAATATTGCTTGCAATTCCACGGTAAAGTCCTGATAAACCTGTAAACAAGATTACAAATTCAAAATCAGTTTTGATAGAAGTCCTTCAACAAAAACAAAGTAAAAGTGCACCAAATACCTCTTTCATGTAGAATTGATTTGCCGATATATTGAATAGATCTTTGGTCAGTACGGCAAGACTGAACAACAGTCTTAACTGTATCCATGGGATGCAGACACAGGCTGACAAATATACCAGCAAATGCTCCAGCAAAAGCATGCTCTTGCTTTGCGAGTCCATACTGTAGTTTATATGGTGTCAATGAAAAAATCTGCATGGCAGAACTTTCCTGCTTGACAACTTGCCTTTCTTGACCTTCTTTGATCTCACTTAACTCGTCCTCTTTCCCATGCCGGCATTCTAAGTAAGGACTTGTACCTAAACCTAGAGACTTCATGTTGGAGTCAGCTTGAAGGTTAGAAGTTGGAACGATGGAGCCATTACCATCTGCCTCAACATCCTGTATAGGACGAAGAAGATACTCTGAGCACAGAGACATAACACCTGTGCTTGTTTTCATCATATTGTTAGCATATTCCCGTGATGAAGATTCCTCAGTTTCAGCTAATTCAGTTTTTGTAATCATACCGTCATCAAGCCTAGTGTTTTCTGGATTGCTTCTTTCAACACTAGCTGTTTCTCTAGCATTAAAGCAGTAATCAGTTCTTTTCTTATCATGTTCAATAGAGTTCACGTTATACATTGGACTCAAAAGCTTTACGTTGCTCATCCATCCATATATATTTCGCAATTCATATGAGGTCATTACACTAGAAACCCCTTTCTCTTTGCAAGATAGGATCGTCTTACCATAAGCAGTAAGCAGGCAACTCCGACTCACACTGCAACAATCAAAAGAAGAGTGTTTTTTGGCTACACATACAGAGTCTGAGTCTTTTTGCACATTCACTGTAGGTGAAACATGGCTATCGGCCTTTAAATTTACTGAGACATTCTGACCCTCAGAAGAAATAGACGCAATTATATTTCCTTCCTCGGCTGGATAATAGAATGTGTTCTCTTTCTGAAGGCTATCATTGTTCTGTGTTGATGTTGACTTATGACGTAAAACAGGAAGAGACGAAGAGGCAAAATTCCATAACTGGCCCGCTCCTGAAATGAGATCAGCCGTGCTTAGTATAGATGATCTGGCTTCAGCTTGTTTAGCAGGGTGTTTGCCATTATCATGGGAACTGGGAGCATAATCTTCACGAGTAACATCCGCAAGGTCAAAAGAAGCCCCTCCATGAGGATTATATCTGTAATTGATGGAAGGTTTATCATTTCTACAAGATTGAGCTCCCCCAGTCATTAGTGCGACATAAATCAAGAATTCCCTCTCAGAAGAAAGATTGCCAGTGGAGAAATGCAACTGCAGAATGAAATCATATCATCATAAATCTTATTGATATATATATATATATATCTACACACACACACATATATCGTATATATACTTGTGGTTGGGAACACATTTACTTTGAATTAATTTCTTGAACAGAAAAAAATAGCAACAAGAAAAATAATGTCATAAACAGCATCATGCAGCCCAGATTCGGTGAAAAGAGAATTTTTCATTCATGACCTCTGAAGTTCACCATCCCCAAAAACCTAAAATCAAGATTCCCTATTGCAGAATTTTCTCATAGTTCTGTTTAATATATCAAGATGTTTCACTTGCACTTGCAATGAAGTTTCAAGGGAGAGGTGTTTTGCTTTTTTCTGAAATTTGATGAATGAAATCCCTGTTCTGTCTATTCATTTTCTATTTTCTGCTCACTCCCAAGTAATTGATGGGCAGCACAATGAGTTTTTCGTAATCTTGTTGTAATTTTCAAATGTTTGTCTCCCATAGACCTAGAATCACTCTACTTATGACAATCTAATGGCAATAAACAATCTTTAAGCCATAAGCCACTATCTCACCCATAAAAAAAGGCCAAAGCAACCACGGACTTAGCTAATTGGCTTGCCCAAACAGTTGAAAAACAACACAGAGCCTTTAAATTCAAATCCATGTATGTATTGCCCAAGGAAATTATCAATTTAATGCCTCTGTAAGAAAGTATATATCCAAGCTCCCAATGACTCCAATACAAGAATAGAATATATAATCAAGTTCATAATATATTTCATGTGATCAAATAAAAGCAAGTCAACCATACATAAGCAATACCGATATCACCAAAACACCCACTGAAAGGCAATTGCAATGCTAAATAGATTGAAAACCACATCGAGTTAAAAGATACACCTAATCTTAAGTACTTTTAACATAAATTTCAACGAATCAAATGGTTCTTATTTATTCAGCAACAAACAAAATACAGAAAATGCATCCCTCTTCCTACCAATGGTTTTCTATTCGCATGATATCCAGATCTTATGCCCTATGTCTACTAGATTTGAGCAAGATTCCCACACGTATACATTACAATTTTGAACAAGAGCAGGAAAGAAGTACGAACCTCGATGGATTAATAGATTGCGATACAGAATGGAGCATAGGGT